GAAGCTCGTAGTGAGCAGGTAATAAGGAGAGAACGAGAAACGTGATACCAGCCTGAAGCAAGTTGGCGCTCGCAAAGGTGAACCCGAGCGCGGCAGGGCAAGGCCAGCCGAGGGAGCCGGCCATACGCAAGACGGAGTCAAGTTAATTGCTGTGATATTCCGTGCGTGGCCGCCGAGGCGAGGCGAGGCCGCGCGCCCTCGGTCCGTCCTCGCGTGGGCGTGGGTGGCCGGCCCGGGACTGTCCTTTGTGTTCACGTGTGCACACGCATGTACAGATGCACAATACAGGATATGTATGTGGATGTATGTGTTTGTGTGTGTGGAAGAGGTTTTTATTCTTGATCTAGTCTAACTATATGGCAAATACGAATGAATTTTTTATATGCGGTTTCAGGTGCTAGATATTTTAGAATAGATATGATTTTAAAACTCTAACCATGCTAATGCTTATTTATATCCCCATCAGATAAGCACATTGAGTGTAAAAGCTGGTAAGAAGCGAAGCGTTGAAGCTGAATAGAAATCCCTCTGACGTATTGCTTGATGTTGCAGGTTCGGTCGTGGACGTTATGGCGGGGGCGGGCATGCTACTGCAGTGGGTGGGCGCGGGGACGTCGCCCGTCGACTGGTGCGAGGACAACTACACCGTCACGCCCCACATCGCCGAGTTCGTCAACACCGTGAGCAACGTGCTGTTCCTGGTGATCCCCGGCGCCTGCATGAGGCTGTGGGACAGCTACGCGCAGCACGTGTCGCGGGGCATCCATGTGGTGTGGGTTTTCTTCACGATCGTGGGCATCTCGTCGGCCTACTTCCACGCCACACTCTCCCTCCTCGGCCAACTCCTCGACGAGCTCTCCATTCTGTGGCTGCTCATGGTATCCTACGCGCTGTTCACACCAGTGCACTTCCGCCCTCGGTTCCTGCAGGCTAATCGCAGGATGTACTACCTGGCCGTTTCGCTGCTGGCCATCCTCATCACGGGCTCGGCCTTCGTGCAGCCGGCGATCAACTGCTACGCGCTCTTCGGCGTTGGGTCGCCGGCCATCGCCATGCTGACGGTGCAGGTGCGGCGGGCGAGCGACCCCGCCGTGAAGCGCCTAGGCATGGTCACGCTGAGTGGCCTCGCCCTCGCCGCCACGGCCTGGGTCGGGGACCACATCCTCTGCACCGTCCTCAGAGCCATCGATCTCGCCGTCCTCCACGGCCTCTGGCACATCCTCATCTTCTTCAGCTCGTACAACACGCAGGTCCTCTTCTGCTACTTCCACGCCGTTCAGGAGGTGCCCGAGAAGAAGCCCACGCTAAGGTATTGGCCGAACCGCTGGTGGGGGCTGCCGTACGTCTACTGCCAGAGCTCCAGGCACGATAAGACGCCTTGAATTTGAAACACTCACTCGCTCACTCATTCACTCACACCTGCAAGACGCACATGATTGCAAAACGCTTATCACGCATCTAGTCGGTATTGCAAAGCAGCAGCCACATCGACAAGATCCTTTTGGTGCAGTGAGGGAAGCGAATCAAGCACTGCCCCAGCTCTTTACACTGTCAATATCTCCATGTTGCTGTTTTGACTAGTGTATTATACAGCTTGAATTCCTTTATTTTTTATTTTCGTAAAATGGTGCTAGGTGTAAAAGAAAATTTTTCTATTTTTTAAAGAATTTTCAATTTGTGAATTAGATGTCTTTATCTGCTATAGTGTATCTCTCTGCATCTGTCATTTTCTTTATCCTTTCTATATTGCCCTTTCCATCTCTCTCTCTCTCCTGACCTCTGTCTTCTCCTGTCCTGCCCTGTCGTCTCTCCCCTCCCTCACTTCTCCCTCCTTTCCTTCCTTCCTTGCCATCATACCATACATATTTAGAAGTGATTTCTTACATATTTATGAAGTCATTCCACTCATTATTGTCTTATTTAGTCCTGTGGCATTCCACACTACCTAAATATTGTTCAGTGATCCTACTGACATGGTTCACTAAACTTAATGATATCCTCACATGTAAATGATCTTGAAAACATGAGCATATGTCTTACCTTTAAGAGTAATGAGACCATCTCCCATTTTGGTATCTGTTGTACAGTCTGGATTATATTTAGTTTATATGGAGTCATCATGATGGAAAATGTTTTAAATATTTATTTATTTTTTGCAAAGGATATTTAGGATATTTTCTGTTTAGACTAGATGACATTTTATGAAAGTATTTTCCAAAAAATTGCTTAGTGCTATCAATCTGTATATTTCTATTGTAAACGTACAATTTTCTTTAGCATATATGTGTATTTTGACCTGATGATAGCTACCAGAGCATGTATGGGAAGATGAAGAGTGTAAGTATGTATTACCTTATTACAGCAAAGAACAGCCTGAAGTCTTGCTTTTCGTCTGAGCAAACCTCGGCAAAAGTCTTTATGCTATGAATATGTATACCGGTAGTCTTTCAATTTTAAGACAGTGATAACCTGAAGTGTGCATCTACAAATTGTCAAAATGCAGGAACTGAGTTTTGAGTTCATGATAAATATGAAGAGATTTTACACTCGAGGTGCACAGAGGTACCTATGCAAGCAGCTATGTTCTTCATCCCAAAACCTGTCACAAACTAGCTCAGATAGTAATGATAACTGAAATGTTGGAATATGAAATCATCTCAGGTTACATGTCTTAAGACTCAGGAGTATCAAGTATGAGTTGTCAGTGACGTGTTGACATGCAAAGGTGCCGAGATCTCCAAAAGCACTGTAGACAAATTGTAATGTATAATGTTTTTCATTGAAACAAACATGAAGGACTGGAACACTAGCTGTTTCCTGTTTGTTGTTTTTTTCATGGCCAGAGTTGGCACTGCTTTGTATGTCATTAATATTGTGATTTTGCACTGAAGGTGACAGGCACTCATTCTAAACTGATTGTCAGTCAAAAGACTAAAAACAGACAGTTCTAGTCTCTCTGCATCACTTTCTGGATGTAAAAATGCATTATGTCTCTCTACTTTCATTATTTAAATAAGCTTATAAAAGCTTTGTATTAGAATTGTTACCGTTTTAGGTCACAAATAGAAGGCTACATGGAACTACAATCATATCAGATGAATTTTTACTAAGATTTAGTGCCCACTTGTATGGCATGCTGAGCTGTTGTTATGATTAGCTGTACTAGACTGTTTATAATACACACACACACACGCACACGCACACACACACGCACACACACACACACACACACACACACACACACACACACACACACACACACACACACACACACACACACACACACACACACACACACACACACACATACATATACATATACATATACATATACATATACATACATACACATACACATACATACACATATACATATACATATACATACACATACATACTTACTCACACACACACACATACATACATACATGTATGTATGTATGTATGTATGTGTGTGTGAGTCTATATATCTGTGTATATGTGTATATATAGGTGTATACATGTGTGTATATATACATGTGTATATATATACATGTGTATATATATACATGTGTATATATATATATGTATATATATATATATATATATATATATATATATATATATATATATATATATATATATATATATATATATATATTATATATATATACATACATACACACATGTATGCTTGCAAGCATATTTTTATTTGCACACAAATAGAAAGGTGTAATTAGCAAGCTAACTACAAGATCTCACATGTAGAAATTTGTCTACTTATTCAGCCTTTTCCAGCACTTTGTCAGACTATTTATATGCCAATGTTATATTCAATCTATGCCCATGTGTGAATATTAGTGGGATTTGTCAATATTTAGAAAATAGGATTTGGACTTTGCGGTCTAAACCATATTGCTTATGTCTTTGTGTGTATGTTGAGGATGCTGACTGGAGTAGTATTTAGAATTTACATAACTACTAGTGTGTAAGTTTGTTTTTTTTTATATAATTTGTGATGTTTTTGTTAAATTGAAGTTAATATGATTGTTTATCTTCAGTTGTGTTGTTTATAATTATATAGATTAATGAAGTGATTCACAGAAGGTCACTAGAAAAAACATTATGTCTCAGTGGGGTTTGCTGTTAAGGTATCAGGTCAGCTCAGCATCTGTCTTGATATTACTATTTAAAAACCAATTTCAGTCCAAGTTCTTTCCACAAATGATATGCCTTAAACTGCCAGCCTTTGGTTGAATTAATGAATATACTGAATTGTTTTCTACAGGGTAAAAAAAAAAGCATCATTAATTACTATGACATGGTTGAAGATGTGTTGTAAGTGTTTCTGGAACAATTATAATTCATCAGTTAATTTACAGGATGTATAAGGAGGCTGTATATAACCCTGTGAACTTTGTTGTGCAGTATACAGTCTAAGTTAATATGAAGTAAAAGTCAGCATGATATCTGTAATATCTGTTACTGTGCAATTTACAAATATTTATGAATCTGGTTTGAAGGACACATTGCTAGTGTGTATTAGCTCAATGAAAAACAATACTAGATTATTACCTTTGTATGTAAAGCAAAAGTCTTGTATTATCATTACAGAATGCACAGAATACCACCAACATATCTATCTATTTGCAAGCCAGGAAAAATGTGAACTGTAGGTTTAGTTCTGCTTAGAAAATCTGCATTGAAATGGTAAAGAATGTGACAATTATAAGTTCCATAAAAAAATAATAATACATTAAGAATTTAAGTGTTACTTATAGTTGGGAACAGAAAGGGTTGTCAAAACATGTAATACTTCTCTTGTCTATCAAAATGAAACTTAACCAAAAGTTCATAGATATTTTGACATGTAATTGTGCCCGTGAAATCAAAATTTGCTTTAGGAAGAAACATTTTCTGCAGTACTGAAACCAAGCCATTAAATATTTGATTAAAAATGAGACCAAGTGACATACATTTGTTTGGTCCCAGGATAGTGGATAATTTGCTTTGAACTGCAAAGAAAGTTGCTTGTTCACAAGTTTGCGAGATTGAAACTCAATAACTTTTAACAGTGCCAAAAGAATCCATTATTGGCTAGATTGCAAAGGTTGTGAAAATAGCATTAGACTTTACTGATTTGCAGCTAATTATGACAGAAAGAATCATGCATTTGGGGAGTAATATTCTTTGAAATATTTGAATGATTATTCCATGTCATTATATTTTTTTATTTAAATAATACTAGTTGCAGTTCATGAATGTTTGATGTGTGCATATTAGCTGTTAGAAATTTGGATTATAGTTATGCGTTATGAATTTTAAGTATATTATTCTTCATGTATTTTATATTGATTGTAAAAAATAATTACTGGAATCCAGCAAATTATCTGGTAATCAGTTGCATCAGTTATGTAATAGTTTCTTGAAAATATTTTATGGAGGTTTGTAAGCCTTTTTCTCAAGAATCACTAAAAATGAATTGATAAGAATTGGTAAATAATGAAAAGAAGGATTATTTTGTATTGTAAATCAGTTGTACTATTAAAATATATATAGTTGAGTAACCATATTCAAACCAGTCCATAAGTAAAGAGAAAGCATGTTACTTGACTCTTCATTAATTGCAGTTCACTTTCATATGAACTGTCCTGATTCATATGGTAATTAACAGCACTGCCATGTACTGTCAATATTTGATGAAAGTGGTATTTCAAAGTCATTGACAATGAATTACATATAATCAGTAAGGCTTCCTATAGTTTCTTGTTTCTATCTCTCTCTCTCCTCTCTCATAATACCAAGAAGCTGTGTTACATGAACTACTTAACCGCTGATACACAAGGGCCATTAACATTTTCAGAATACGCTTTTTGCATTCCATCCCATGCTTTGGCCTAGTGTTGTAGAGGAAATATCTTCAATCCATTGTCTACATTTGTCTGTTCTTCCTGAAGTAGATAATCAATGCCTCTATTAATCAAATTTATGATTATACTATTGCACATATGGGTTCTTATGTCAAACATGAATCAGTAACTGTTATTTTAGACACTTGATAAGATGAATTAAAATAGATATTAATCAGTTTGGATAATCTATTGGGTAAGATAATAAGGCCATATAGTTGTCAAGTATCTTGCACTGGCCAAATAAATCATCTGAATGGAAAATGAAAATGACAAATTACAGAAACAGTGAAGATGATTTTGTTTGGCTGCATGAAGTACTTGATCATTTCCCATGATTTAATAAATAAATAAGTTATCATGCAACTGGAATTATGTAGGAATAGTTGAGGTTAATATACTAAGTATCTAAGGCAGCAGGAAATAAGAATAAAAAATCAGAGTATACTTACACATTTAATTTAGTCTGTCTAGATGTGCACTCTGCCATTAGTAGAAAATCATAGATGTAGTTTGGGATTGAGTAGATTAAAAGAATTTTCTGATTAATATAACCAAGTACTTGAACAGAAACACATGAAACCATTCTTGGTTGTGTTGTGCTAGTCAGAAATATATTATCTGTCTAATGCCATTTCTTTTGGATCAAGTGTATTAAAATTGATATATTGTTACTGTACCTATAACGCATGTATGGTTCTCTGTTGAGTAGAAGTATATAATTTCATGTGTAGCACTACATTTTCACATGCCAAAGTGATAATAAGCTCTCTTGCAGTACTGGTTAATGTAGTGTGAATAAATGTGATAGGCCAATTATTGTTGCAATAGGTGAAGTCATTGTATCATTATTCATATATTTTCATGTAGCACTGTGATAGCACAACCATTATAAAATTTCATGTCCCATAAAAGTACATCATCAACATTTGTGAATGATGCATCATTTACAGGAGATTCATGTAATGGGTATGTTAATATAATAAAATATCTGATGTCAATCAAATTTTGGCTGGGAACTTCTAACAAGAAATCTTGCAATATGGTGGGAATTAATCTTGAAATGAAATACTGCTTTTAGAGGGAAACAAAGAAGAAAAGAATGCTGACAGTCAGCACAGAGCAAGCAGTCTTGTTAGATATTGCCAGCCAAAAAAAGCCAGCAAGTTCTCAGCAAAACATTGTCAAGCACAACGGTTGATGTAAGGTGCCTTGCAAAATGTAATATCAGCAACCAGTACAAGTAAAGTCTTTTTACTAGTACGAGCATGTAGTGGTTAGGGTGTTGTGTAATGTCATTGGTACAAAAACGTCTAAGGTGCATTTATAAGAAATTTCAGGTGTTGCAAGAGTGTATTATTCAATTTCAATGTGATTGTCATAAGGGTACTAAACAATTAAAAGGATATTCTTGACTTTAATCAATATGGCATGTGTGCTTACTTGTGACATAGATCAGGTTTCTTGTACCATATATGAGACTGAATGCTACAATCACTGCAAAATATCCAATGTTACATCCATCACTATGTCTTCAATTCTGCACTTTGTTGTAGATTTTCATCCAAAGTTAATTGGTGGCCAAATAGAATATCACAAATAATTTTTTACCGTATGGACTTTTTTTTCCTTTTTTTTTATCACAATATGAACTTTTTTATTGTAATTTTACAGTTGTCATTTTCTAATTTCAATACATTCCGCAGACTTCCTATTCAGTAATTTATGTACATAAACAATGTAAAATTTTATCTCCATTTCTGCATTTTTGCATTTACTCGTATGTAACTGTTTAAGAATGCAGTAGTCATTCCTTGCAATATTCTTCATTTTGTAACATGAGGAGGGGAGGATCCTTCAACTTTTCATGGAAAGGGAAGAGAACTTGCTTTCTCTATACCACTTAATTCATTGACTTTTCAGTTATACATACTTTATATATACATATGTAAAATGAAAATAAAAAGTTGATGGTAGATATTTGCTTATATTATTTATTTTTGTGTGATTTGCTAAACAGCTTGTGATATCCTCCTCCTCATCAAATGCACTAATTATAATCCAGTCCATTTTTGTTGAGCCACACTCCTTTATTTACTTATTTATTATTTTTATCATTTGTTTTTCTGGTCTGCATTTCTACAGAATTTGGAAAGAGGCTTATTGTTAGCCAAAAAATGCACAATCCCTAAGAACTTGCACATTTATTGTTTCACGACTAAGATTATTGAAAGAATAAATATTCTGGGATACTCTGTGTAAAAGTAAAATAAGTTGAAATAACTTTGTATAAACTTCAGTT